TCTATTTTACTTTAGTTTAATTCCTAATATTTTTTATATTCATTATGCTTATAAAAATGCCTACTTTTTATATAAAACTTTATCATGAATTAATTATTTCCATCTTTATTTTGGTTCTAATTAATATACTTGAAAATAAATTTTTATTATGTAGAATAGTGAAGTAAGAGGATGACCAAGGGTAAAAATATAATTTCATTCTAAGAAAATCTATTTAAGAAAGATAATAAATAATTGTAGAAATCTCTTTCTATATATAAAATGAATAATGATCAAGGGCAAAAATATAATTTCATACTAACAAAAATATACCAATAATGATAACAAGAAAATTAAATATTTTAGAAACATTTTAAGTTATTTTTATTTGCATTAACTTATTTTGTTATTACTTTACTTTTTTTCTTTTGTGAGTTATTGTGATATCTATTTTATTATTACTCTACTTTTATATTATCTATCTATATTATTATTATTATTATTATTATTATTATTATATAGAAGAGTGAAGTGGGAGGACGACCAAGGGTAAAAATATAATTTTATCATAAAAAATTTATTTAAAAAGATAATAAATAATTCTGAAAATCTCTTTCTATATATAAGGTGAATAATGATTAAGGACAAAAGTATAATTTCACACTAATAAAAATCTATTAACAAGAAAATTAAATATTCTAGAAACATTAGGTTATTATTTTGTTATTACTTCACTTTCTTTTCTTTTGTGAGCAATTCTTATATCTATTTTAGTATTACTCTATTTTACCATTATTCTATTTTAGTTTAGTTTAATTCTTAGTATTTTTAATATTCATAATGCTTATCAAAATTGACTACTTTTAACATAAAAATTTGTCATGAATTAATTATTTCCATGTTTATTTTGGTTTTAATTTAACATACTTGAAAATAAATAAGTGCGATAAAATTAATAATATATATTAGATTGAAATTAAAGAAAAAAAATTTTAAAAGTAACTTTACAAATAAAAATGAATAGGATGAAATATTTGTATTAAAGACGACCAAGAATAAAAATGTAATTTCATTCTAATAAACTTCTATCAAGAATAAATAATTCTAGAAACATCTTTCTCTGTATAAAGTGAATGATGATCAATGGTAAAAAAATGTAACTTCATGCAAATAAATATCCACCAAGAATGATAACAAGAAAATTAAATACTTCTAGAAACATATTTAATTATCATTATTAGTATTACCTCATTTTTGTTATTTTTCCAAATTTATGAATTATTGGAATATCTATTTATTATATGAAAGTAAATAAATTATGATTACGATTACCTCTTAATAATTATATATCAAGTATAATATTAGGTGGAATCAATCAAAAATAAAACTAAAATTTATATGCATATTTAAATTTTGTGTGTTAAAATATTTTTAAATTATGTAATCTTAAATATGCTATATAAGAAAGTTTATAATTTAGAATTTATTTTCTTTTTGAGATGAAACAAAAAAATAAGTTCATATAAATCAAAAAGGAAGATTCATATATTAAAAATGAAATATATATGTGTTATTATTAAAATGAGATTTCATATATTATTTTTAATAAAAATTCTTTTGGTTTCGTTCTATTAATTTGTTCATATATATGGAGTTTTAAATATTTGAATATTTTAGCATAAAAATATAATAATTTGAAAATTTTAATTCTTTGTTAGTTTCTAATTTGTTACATGTTTAAAGATTACCTTAAAAAAAGCTTAAAATCTCAATGTAACAGTTCAAGATATTTTATGAAAAACATAGTTTAAAATCATAATGAAATTTGGTTGATTCCCTTATTTTTATCAAAAGAAAAGAAAATTGCATATATTGTTTGAAAATGACGTAAGAACTAAAAAGTACTATGAATCAAAGGAAAATGACAATTAAAAATATATTAGAATCATATAAGAAATTTCATTGATTTTCCTAAAATCACTTGTATAGTATAAAATGAAACAAATAGAGTAACATATATTATTTGAAAATTGACATAAAAGGTACATAAATTAACAATTCCAAATATGTTTTAAAAAAAACATATATAACAAATTTAATTCACTTTTTCAAATTTCATTTGTCAAATAAATTGGAAAAAAAAACTAACATACATTGTGCCCGCATTGGCGCGGGCACCTAATATCTAGAATTTATTATATTTCTATTATATAGAAAAGCAAAATGAGAAGGACGGCCAATGACATATTAGTAATTTTAACATCACTTAAGGATAAAATAATAATGTATAATTAATGGTCAAAATAAAAATCTAAAAGAATCCATACATGTCTTAACTTTTGTTATGAGTCATAAGGATATTATTGCAATTTTGTTTAAATAAAGAGTTTCTATTACTTAATTAACTTTTTACAAACAATAACAAATGTGTTTTGACATATTTTAGAAATAAAATTATGAACTAATTAAAATAAAATGAGTTTGAATAGTTAAATTTTTTTCCTAGAAATACTTTAGAGGAATATTGCGTGAACATATTTTTAATATTATGTTACATAATATGACCACTAAATTCGTATTTTGATTATTAAAATAGTCCTTAAAATAACGTATCAGTAGTTTTTAATTAATTTGAAAAAAATATCAAATTTTGTGACTAAAGAATGAACAATGTTTGACTATCAAGAAATCAATAATTTGACAATGTATTCATTGAAAGATTAAAAAATATAAAAAAAATTATTTTTATATTTTCTTAATATCAAATATGATAAATTATTTAATAGAGAAAATTTAACATTCAAATACCAATGAATATTGAAATTCAAACTAAAGAAAATGGAGTAGTTAAAAAATAAAGAAGAAGAAAAAATGTTAGTAGAAAAAGACTTTATTTAGAAATATAGAGAAAGAAAACTAAAAAATAAATAAATTATAGAAAAAAAAACAACCTGAAAAAAGTATATTGTTTTTTTTTTTTGGGGTGGGGTGGGGTGGAAGCTTTAGAGTTTTCTTTACGACATGATATTAGGTGTAGTATCAAAAAAGAAATTAATTAATGTAATTTAGAATATAACATTAGGATAATTGTTATTGTATATAGAAATAATTTTTTTTTCATGATTGTTTTTATTTTTGTGGAGGCAAAAATTACTTTTTTGATAAATATTTTCAATATTTAGGATATAACATTACTATAATTGTTATTATATATAGAAATAAAGTTGTTTTCTTGATTGTTTTTATTGTTGTGAAGTTAGAAATTATTTTTTTTAACTATTTCTATTTATAGAAGACAATAGTAAAATGTATCACAAATTTTATCGACAAAGTCAAACACAAAAACATCATACTTAAGTTGAAGCAATAGAGATTCGAAAGACTTTAAATCGATCTTTACAAATTGATTGATCAATGATTAGTATTTTATTAGATGGAAAGCTTATGGTGCAAAAATATCACAAAAACGAAGATAAATAACATTGTGAAAAATAGATACCACTTGTGGTATATATGAATTTTATACATTCCTTGAACATGAAATGTATTAAGAGCCTGTTTGGCTCAGCTTTAAAGCTGGTCAAACTGATTTAAAAGCTGATTTTTGACTTATTTAGCTGTTTGGCAATACTCAGAATAACTTATTTTAAGTTAAAAAAACTTATTTTAAGCCAAAAGTTAAAAGCTGGGGTAGGGGAGCTTTTTCTTTTTTAGCTTATAAGTTGTTTTAAGTTGACCACATTTTTATCTTTTTTTCCTTTAATATTTTTATAAAATCTCCAAATTAACCACATAACCCTAACATCTCTTTCTTCCATTTTTTCCTTTTCACGTTTGGCATAGCAACTTCAGCACTTTTATCCAAACACATAACTGCTTATTTTAAAAATAAGTTTCAGTACTTTCAAAAGTACTTTTTTAAAGTTGCTTTTATTAAGCCCATCCAAACGGGCCCTAACTCTAATTTTAAAGCAAATCTCTATTTCGTTGCTACAAATAATTTATTAGAATTAGACGTTTTCAAAGATTGTAAACGGCACACTTATGTTGTATAACCATTTGAAATAAATTAAAAAGTAATATATTGATTTTTTTACTAAAGAAAAAAATAGTATAAAGTACAGATATTTCATATAATTTTAGGCTAATTAATCATATCTAAGAAGTTTTCTCAATTACAAAAATCTTGAATTTTTTATTCCTTTTGAATATATTTTTTGATTTTCCAATACATTGCAAATGACATATTGAAAGAGATAGATATATATGTATCCAAGAGAAAATAGATGGATCCGAGAGAAAATAGAATGCATCTAAAAGAAAATGAAATATCTTAACTTGTGAATTTATCTAATTTTTTCATGAAATTATATTGAATTCATATTATGGAACTTAAAATATTTATATTTATTATTTATTATTTATTATTATTTTATTACTATGTAGAAGAGCCATGTAGTGGACGATCACCGACAATATGGTAAATACGTTCATTTTAGTTAAAGGGCAAATGGTTTAAGAAATCCACGAGTTAGCCTTTCTTTCACAAGATATTTTGTACATTTTTTAATCACGTGACTGCCTCAGATCCACAAATTAGAAAATTACTGAACTTACAACACTAGGCCAAGCAATGGCACTTCAGAAAAAAACATTAATATGTAAAGGGTAAAATAATAATTTCCAAATCTCCCACTTTTTCTCTTGCAAAGGAGACAGGAGGACTCCCATTAATCTCTTGTTCAACACACTCTTCAATTTCCTCTCTTTCACAACAATTTTTTTGTTAAAATGTTTTTTTCTTTTATATCCTTCAAAGCTTACAACACATCTACATCCGATGGTTTTCTCTTTTACTCCATTAATTAAAAAAGGGAAAGAAGATTTTAAAAAATCAATCTCAATTCGCAACGTATTGTAAATGAAATTCGATAAGAATTATCCAACTTTCTTTGTATCTAGAATTTATTTTTTATTTATTTATTTTGTTTTTTAATTATATATTTCGATTGCTTTGTAGTTTGTTCAATGAAACGATAAATTGCCTGATATTATTTTTGGTAAATCATAATTATTTAATTAATATAATAGGATGAAATGAGAACTACAAGAGGTGAAATAAAAATATTGTTCAAGGAAAATTGTTGTTTAGAAAGTCCGAAAGGAAAACAAAAATGAGAAAAGGATACACTCTTTTATAGCAGATCTAGAGTTATAATAAAAGTATGGTTATACTATTGTACACACAATATGATATGTTTATTGACACCCTATTTGATTTTATTGTGCTTGTTCCCTGATTTCTCTCCACGTGGCGAAATACCAAACACAAGTATAAAAATATTTCTCTCTAGAAATTTCTATTCATGCTTTAAATAAACATGATACCAACTGCCATCAAAGAGCTCATCTTCTAGATTGTCTAGTTGTAGGTTCTAACTGTGCCTGTTGTTTGGCTTCTTTCAATTTCAGGTAAGTCATCTGTGAATTTTTTTTATTCTTCTCTTGAATTTGATATCTCTAAATTCTACTGCATTCAATTTCATTGTCATCTATTATATACTAGGCCGCCATAACGAAGTTTTGATTTTTTAGTGTACAATGATTGTGAATTTTGTGTCTGCCTATGGTGTGGCATGTAAAATTGCATTGGTATGTCGAAAATGTATATTTATACAATAGCTTTCACGATTATCCGTAGTTTATTCTTGTGTGGAAGGTAGGAAAAAACTCTCTTATACGATCCATATTGGTAGAGCTAGATACTTCAGTCAATCACTTAGAATCGCTAATTATACATACTCGGTTAGTAATACTGAAATGAAAAATGAAAATAGGTGGGAGAGGTAAATCATATATAGATATTCGATACTATACTTTGTTAAAATTTATTGGTAGACACTTGTGAAAAGTGTATTGTGTTTGTATAAAATCAGAGTGGTCATTACTTAATCTCAGAATAACATATGGTGATATGGTATTACATGGCCAAACGCTTTAGTACGTAAATATATTTATTTATGTGAATGTTTGCATTTTTCACTGACAAAGTGACAATGATAGTAAAAGTAGTGAGTAATTACTGGAAGACTAAAATCCATTGGTTGAAGTTTCTATAAGATACCTCAATTAAGCTATATTCATTTTAGACACTTTCATGTGGCATTTTGTTGTGTCATTTTAATACTTTTTGATGACATGTCAATTGAGTGTGATGCACTCAACCATAGTGCGTGACAGACTTGATTTAATTATTTTTTAATTTTTTTCTTCTCCAGTTTTCAAGCCACCTCCTTTAAAAGTCAATTTTTTTTATCAAATTTATTTTTAAGTGATTTCCTTCTTTTTCATTGTATTACTTATCTAAATTTGTCATCACTTTCTTACATTTTTTTTGCCGGAAAAATATATATCAATACCCTTATTTCAAATTTATTCTCTCTTTCTTTCTTTTCTTTTTAAAAAATAATACTAAAAATAAAGAAGAAGAATAAATATGAAAAATAGGAAAAGAAAAGAATAATTTTTTTTAAAAAGCACAAAAAGAGATTTTGAATGTAATGAAATACGAGATTTTCTTAGAATAATATACTTATGTTATTTACTAATAGATTTTATAATTATTTTTAACTGAAAATAACGCATGTAATTATTTAATTGATTGTTTGCCACGTCATGAACGAGTGTATTATACTCTCCTTTAGTTTTTTTGTTTATTGTCACTAAAGTGTTAAAATAATATAATGAAATCTTACATGAGGTGTCTAAAATGTGCGATGTAATTGAGGTGTCTAAGTGAAACTTGTTGCCAACTTTAAGGGGTCACTGATGGGTTCGGCCTTATTGGAATCTCCGAAATAGAAAGGGAAAAGGGTCTTAAAATATATCTGAACTTTGACCGAATTGTTGTACGTTATCAAATTTAAAAAGGACATTTTATATCATTCACTATTTAATCATATACTTTAAAGGTATATATGTGTTCACTTGGACATAAAAATATTGTCTAATTATAAATAGTAATATATCCATGTGAACATATATATACCAAAAAATTAGTAAATTCCTAATAGTAATTTTAATAATTATGCAATATTCATATGAAAATTTGATTAATTATACTTTGCGTCGAAATAAGGCCTATTCGAATATAGCGCTCCCTATTAAGATTTTTTTTTTTCATATCCAAGACTCAAAATCAAGATATTTGGCTAAGAGAGAAGCAATATCAAATTGCTTCTCTCTTAACCATATATATATATATATATATATATATATATATATATATATATATATATATATATATATATATATATATATATATATCATAGGAAAATAATTTTTTTTGTAATGATAGATTTATCCCTAATACATTAAAGAATAAAATAATTTTTTGTATATAAAATATAGTCATTAGTGGCGAAATGAGATTTTCTTCAACTACGAAATATATTTAACTATAGAGACAAGTGATTTTGTCACTAATTGAAGTAAAATAACTAGCAACAATATAATTCTGTGCGACAATATAATTCTGTCGGTAGTAATAACCTTTTATTGACAAAACATTATTAACTACAAAAAGGTATACGTACTTTTTACGACAAATAAATTTTGTCCACAATTGTTTAAGGATTTGGGGACGATTTTTCTTTTTGTAGTTAATATAATATTTTCAGTGACGAAGCACTAAATTGTCTTTGTATACTTTTAGTGACGAATTATTTTTCGTCACACAAGATTTTTAATGACGAAAAATTGTTTATAAATGACGAAATTATTTATTCCTGATAATCGAATTTGTTGTAGTGTATAGGCATGAGTTTCTCAACTCAAGGACCTCCGTGGGTAACCGATAGTAGCCCCATGATTAGGAATATAATCCCTAAATGATTAGGAACTCAATACTCAAGACTTAGACCTTGAAGATACTACTCCTCTCAAAGATACTCAACTTATGAAATTCATACCAAAATTTTTGGGCATTAACGACTCGACTTGAGGGTCTAAATAACAATATGGAATTCATGTATATGATTTTTCTCAATTTCATACTTACTTTATCAAAACTTAGCCCAAATCAATAGTTGATCTCAAAGGATTAACAATTGAACTCAAAGACTTTCTTGAACTATACTCTTAGCTCTTTCTTGAATTTGAATTATGAATTAAAGATTTATGATTCATTATATGAAGGATCTCGATGATAATGTAGACTCATGAATATATTTTCATCATTATCATACTCAATTACTCGAGTTTTGAAACAGGTTATTACAAATTAAAGAAGACTTCTCAAAAGAATCAAAAGGACTTTCTAAAGAAGATTCAAAAGAATTTTCAAGACTTAAATCTTAGCTCTAACTTGAATTTGAATTATAAATTCAAAGGTTATTATTTGTAGTGGAAATTTAGATAGTTAATCATGATGAACGGTCAATAAAATATTGTATGAGAGTAATTCCCGACACATATATACATTTAATCACGAAATAATAAATTTTAGATTGAAATATTGGGCCCGTGTATGTCCCGACACATATATACATTTAATCACGAAATAATAAATTTAAGAATGAAATATTGGGTCTGTTAACGGGTCCTTTCTACCCAGTATTATTAATTAATAATTATATAGAAGAGCCATGGTAGGACAACCATGGCTATGAAGAGTTGTACAATGAGGAAAATCAATTGTACTATGTACTTAACCTTGTCTTATTCACTCACCAATAGCCTTTAAACACCAATTGTCTTATGTACTTAACCTTGTCTTATTCACTCACCAATATCCTTTAAACACATATAATAATGTAGGTCTTTTCTCTTTATATCATTACAAATTTACTATCTATTATAAATTTTAAATTCTCAACAATTATTAACTTCATTCAAATATTGTGCACCTCATTTATTTTTTAATATTTAATATATTTTTTTTACCTTCCCTATATTTAGTCTTCAAAATATAAAATGAAGTTAGCTTTTACAACACTACAATTTTAAAAATGTTTTTAACTATAGAATTTATCTTTTTGGCAATTTTAGAACTCAAATTTAAAAATAAAAAAGAAATTTAAACATTAGAACGCAAATTTGACAAATTATCAATTAATTCTACATATTACTATCCCTTGTCTCATATAAGAAAGGGGATTTATTTCTTTTAAAGTAAATTATTTTGTTTTCGAAATATTATTAAATTTTATTAACATACTATATGACAAATTTAAATTTTAAAATTATTTTATATGTAACTGTAATTCATAAAAAGAAGAAGATTATTAAAAGATTTATTAATTGAATCAAGACAGAAAATATACAAACATAACTTATGCTTTGAAATTACATGTAATATCTTTCAATAGAGACATAAATGACACAAATATTTTAAGTATGAATCATATTACCATGATTAAAAAAAAGTAATACAAATTTTTATTATACTAAAAAGGTAAAATTATTGTTACAAAAAATATTTTTATCTTTAAGATAGACAAAATAAATGTAATTCATCCGATTTTTTTTATTTTGCTATTAAAAAAGTTAATTGAATGGAACTGTAGTTGTGCAAGTTGGACATAGAGTTTTTAATATTTTTTAATAAAATTAATTTATGACTTGACTTTATATATTTAAAGTCCATTAAACTTGTCACTAAATTTTATTTTGATATACAAACTATGACTTATTTCAATGGAATACCTAAACACTTCACACATTTTTTGTTCAAATTTTGAAAATAAAACTTTGTGTGCGTGATTATAAATGCTTATTAGATAGTTATAATAACCACATAAAAATGTCATCATAGTTAATTATATCTACATCCATCAAATTAGAACATTCTTGAGGTTTACCCTTTTTTTATATGAGTTGAATACATAAAATTAAAGAAGATGACATATTTTTTATCCAACATATATTGTAATTTAATTTTATGTTAATGTCTAATATGATGTTAAAATGAACATTAGGTTACATATTCTCTTAATATTAGTCGACATATATATATATATATATATATCAACTAATATATTGCGAAAATCCGATGTTGTATGAGGGAGATATGCCTTTTTTTCGGAAGTTGGGCTGTTTAACTGAGCAAAATTCAATCCGGATTTTACTAAGGGTAAAGTTTGTTTTTCACCCTAGTATTTACTAATTCGTATTTAGGTTATATTAGGGGTAAAACCAAGTCCGAAACCAGTTTTATAAAAACTAAGAATGCTTAGGGCTTGGGACAAAAGAGAAAAGACGAGAGAAGATAAGGAATTGTCCAAGAACGCCAAGATCGTTGCGTGGAATTCGTCGTGTGGGTGATCCCTATCGAGATATGTGAGATCATTCGGTGCTGGGTCCTTTCACCCACACCAAATTTGTTTCAATATAGCAAGTTAAAGTATATGGAATGATGAATATGAGAGTTCTTGATAAAAATTTGTTAAATTCTTGTTGGTTGAATTGTAGTGTATCCCAAGTAGATTTAATTATGTTTCCAGACTGTCTTTGGTTCTAGTCTGTTGGGTAATAATTATTTAGAAATCCTAAGTGTTTGGGGTGGGATCCATCGAAGTTTAGGAGGTTTAGAATTGAAAATCCAATAAGAAAAGTCGGAAAACCCATCTAATAGGTCCTGGGGCGGTGTGCCTACCAGCGTGCCTCAAGAGAGACTTTGTCCGTCAGGTCCAGGCGCTCCGCGCCTCTCACAGCGCCAAGAGTCCCTGAAGAACCCGTTCTTTTCCTATATTTTCTTACCAATTCTTAAGTTATGTACCTATCATTCCTATTTGATTTCAACACTCTAAAGTAAATCTAAACATCATGAAATCATCCATAAAATAAGATCATGATTCTTGAATCCATTATCCTATTCAAGGAAATAGGAGTCAAGTTTAAAAGTAAGAAGCAAGTCAAAGTAGGTTCTGAAAGTTTTCAAAGAGTCTTAAACAATCATTTTAACTTTGGTTTAAGGCTCAAGTTTTAAGTTGAGCAAACAATAAAGAGTTGAATTAAATTCTCAAAAGCTATAAGGGGACTACGTGTTTCCTAAGATTTAAGTTTCCAGTTAAGTAAAGAGCAAGAGTTGAGTTCATTTATCAAAAGATATAACGGAACCAATTATTTCCTGAAGGTTTATAAATGTTTCACATTTAAGTAAAAAGGAAACTAAGAGTTCCAAAAGAGTTTTGAACTAAAAGGGACCACTGATTCCAAAGATGGGTTTTTTAAAACTAAAGGGTTCAGTAAATTATCTCAACCCAAAGGAAGGAAATTTATTAAAAGTTTGAGATAAAGTATGTTTTGGGAGTAGTATTGAGCACCGGTATGGGGATGATAGTTCATAATCAACTGAAGTCTCCATGTGAACCATGAACACATAATGGGAATTGACAGGTCATACTTTTTAGATGATCACGTAAGTTTATCGAGTGGATCCACTAAGCTAAGTAAGGTCCTATACTGATGGCAAGGTATAGGATGGTCCTTGGTCAACGTGAGGTAAAACGTTATATCATCACTTAGGCTCAAAGTGATGGTTGTCTTGTTAGAGAATCTCCAACAAAAGTTATATTACTTTCATATATAAGTAAAGTTTAGTTTGTTAATGCATTTGTTTAACGAACTAAGTTGTTTTATTGTTTTACAATTTTTATATATATCGCATGTTTTTTAAATTGCTTTATATACATACTTTAAGTTAAGCATATTCTTGAGTTGAGCAGAGCAAAGGTAAGTTCATCTTAACCCTTAAGTCGTCGTTTAACTTTCCAACTACAATACTCGTACATTCAATGTATTGATGATAATTGACCTGTATCATTTCATGATGCAGACGCAGATAACCAGAATCAGCGCGCAGCGCATCATTGACCCAGTTGAGCACTCTGAAGTCACTTGGTGTGCCTCCTTGCATTCTAGACGACAATTCTTTATTTGTTTTCTAGATTAGTTCATTAGGATGTATGAGGTCTATCACAACATCCATCTCTGTTATTAGAGGCTTCATAGACCGATAGACAGTTAGTAGTTCAGTTTTAGAGTTTGTTGTGCTTTTTAACTTCATATGTTTCAATTATTGAGACTTAAGTGCTTTTTGGATAGATTATTATATTGATTGTTCCTTTTAAACATGTCTATTTCTTGATTGAGTTGAGTTGAGTCATTTGCAGAGTTAAGTAAGTTAGGCCACGGGTTCGCTTGGGGTCCAACAACGGTCTTCGAGTGTCGCCCTGTCCAGTGTGTAGGTTCTGGGTATGACAAAAATTATCTCCCTCAAACTCATTTAGAATCCTAGACTCACTTATCTTATGTTATTTCTCTAGAATTTTAAGAAGAAAATTTTCACGACTCAAATATGGACGTGATTACACTTGTCTTATCCCACCAAGATAAGTCAGCCTAAAACTCAGCCTTTACGATAAAATGCAGATATTTATTATATTCTTAAAAATAAAACCCCAAAAACATTGTATGTGTACAAGCCTCTAATGTGTTATAACAATATTAAAAGAAAATACAAGTCTTAATTGACAATGTCTCTAGAACAGAACAAGATTATAATTAAGGAGAAAGAAGGTGCGCTGAAATAACAAGCAACTGCCTTACAAACTTCCAGAAGAAGCCTCAAACAAGGAGAAGAGAAAATATCACAAAGGTTCGGGCTAGTAACCTACAGAAAATGTAGTAGCAAGGGGTGAGTACCAAACTACATGATACTCATCAATTGAACTTCTAAACATAAGCAAAGGGAATAGAATTCAGGTAATCCTCACACCCCAACCAAACCTCCACAACTATAACCTGTATCAAACAATCCCAACCTAATATTTCATAATTTATGTAGCAACCAGCTCAAGAACAACACTGTAACAATTAAATATCCTCAACAACAAGCTTATTATTAATCAATCACAGCCTGCATAAAATCAGCCCAACCTAACAGTTCACAGTTTATAAAACACACAACTCAACACCAACACTAAAACAATTATACATCCTAAATATTAAGATCATTATTCATCAATCATAAATTTCATAGGAAGGAACTCAAACATCAAGTTCATCAATGATAAATTAATGCAATGCCAAGTATAATAACTCTCTACGAAGTTGAATTGATTTAAAGAATAATACAATCATGATACAACATCAACAATGAGACAATAAGACTTTCAAAACCATTCTCAACACATTACACACCAACGATTAATCACAATGATTTGTACTACCCCTTTTCATCGTTAGAATTATTCAACGTGGACAAGTCAACCCATTACCAATTCTAATTATTCCCAACACATACCACAAGGAAAAATATGATTTATGCAATAAATAAGGGTTTAAAAATTCACTTTTCTCAAATAACCGAATAATCAATACGGACTTGAGTCTTCTCTTTTCGTTGATATTTCAAAAAATGCAATCCATTAATGTACATATTCACAATAAGATTTCAAAACTAAGAAGACCAACATTACTATGTCTTTAGCCTATACATGAAAATTCACTAAGATTTATGATCAAGTTCTTAAATCTTGATGTTAATTATCATTTCAACTATCATATTTTCCATGTTTTGAGTCAAGGATTAAGTCTGAATTCATCCAATATTATAATCTACTTGTAGTGACATAATACCATGTAAGAGTAAATAGGCTCGAAAACTTTAAAAAGAAACAAAGGCTCGAAGGTTAGGAGAACTGTATGCTTAAGTCTTTTCTATTTTTCAGGATATAAAAATACTGGAACGTACATCTTTATTCAGACTTAAAAAGACAAACTACTAAGTCACTGAATGACCATTACTTTTATTAATTATACAACTAACTACTAACCAAAACGCAATTAGGAAGTATTGAACCATGATTAACATATTTTCTAACAATTAGCCCTAGAATATAGGATTCTACTAACAAAAATAATTGACATGGTGATACTTTGAATCACTCTTAAATGTTACCCCTTGATTAAAAGTTACATGCATAAAGCAAAGCCCTCAAATAGACAAACTTGTCTGCTGCCAATGACTTTGTAATTATATTAGCTAATTGGTTATGAGTGTTGCAATGCTTCAATACAATATCCTCCTTTGCAACCAAATCACGAATGAAATGGAAATGAACATCAATGTTCTTCTTTCTACTATGAAATTTGAATTCTTTGTCATTGAGATTGATGCTTTGTTGTCTCAATATATCTCTGTTGCACTTTCTTGCTTATGCTGAAATTATGCTAACATGCTTCTTATCCAGATAGCTTTGCAAGCGGCTGAAGTATCTGCAATGTACTCAGCTTTAGATGTGGATAAGGACTTTGTAGCTTACTTCCTTGAGATCCAATATATTTGTAACACCCCATATCTAGAACAGACAAAAAAAATCTGCAGATGCAATCGATGGTTACCATCGACGAACCGTAGCATGACCGATGACCCGTATTGCACATCCGTCGTTTATAACTAAAACTCTCTCAAAACGCAGCCCAAAAAATGTGACTAACTGTCGAACGACGGACGGACCTACATTCCGTAGGTCAGACTATGGTTCATAGTCTGTGTCCGTCGATCAAGACCCCATTTACCTACTCTCTAACAAAACCACGATTGACTAGTACGGTCCGTAGGTGAAAATTAGCAGACAGTTAGGGAGAAATGCACTTGGGTTAACTTCAAATGATCATAAATCTTAGAAAAAAGTGAATTAGGTGTCCTATGATAAACCAACAAATAATAATTGAATTAGCCTTCCATAGCCATCGACCTTGCTAAAATCAAACCTTCGAGTAAAAAGTTATGTCCGTTTTAGCAAAGCATTATCGAACAGACCCCACTTATGGACCCAAACGACAGGCTGTCGATTGAACGACGGTCCGTTAGTCCAGGTCGTCGTTTGGTCCAACAACAATTAACTCAAGGGCCTTTTGGTCTTTTCCCACTTTATTTAAATCTTAAGATACACCGTTTTGACCCTAAGTCATTATCATATTTTAGTCAGTTTAAGCCTAGAAACATAACATGAACTTACCTAAGTCAAAATCATATATCAAAAATTTGAAAATTAGAAGCAAGAAAATAGAAAAAGCTCAAGAACCCTAGTTCAAGAATGCTATAAGATTTCATCAGTTCCATCCCTGAAATCTAACTATTTCTCTATGGATTTTATCACCAGGCATGTGGGATTTCACTAGTGGGTTCCTTTTACCCATTGGGTCCCTAGTTTTCAGTCATATTCTTGATTCACATATCATGATTAGAACTTGGGTTTCTAGAACTTCAACAGAACTTTATGAATTTGTTAGTTATATGTTCCAAATCTGACTATCATGTTATTACTCATACTATTGCATGAATTTCAGAACCCTAGCAATGTATTTCTTTAGTTTTTGAATTACATATGCTAGGTCGAATATTTAGGTTACTTCAGATATAAATGTCTCAGTTATAAAGGCATAATTACAAGATTAATTATTGCATTCTCAGTTTTCAAGTCCAGTTTTGAGCTATCCAATATTTACAAAAACTCACTCATAATTAGTTAATTACATAATTCATTGGGAGTCACATAATACCGAGTTGGACTGGATTCAGCGTACCCAATTAGTCCCAGAATTACTAGCCAAGTAGGTTATAAGTCTCCTCTGTGGGCAATCAGTTTAATGATTACGCCCGCATGCCTTTATACCTCTTACAGGGTATATGGGTCCTCTCGATAAGGTGTATACATCAGATTCCACATGTAGCTCATGTGGTTTTATTATCGGTTATTATTAGCTCCCACAGTTCAGTCAGACCCTAATGCATTGACCATATTTACAATATAGTTATCATTCATTCTCAGCATGTTATAAATTTGGTCATTGCATCCAGTTAGCTTAGAATTCAGTATATCATGTTCAAATTATTATACTTGCTTTTGTGCTAGTTTAGTTATGTTTTATTTCAGCTTTACTCTATCCTACATGCTCAGTACCTTCAAGTACTGATGCATACGTATGCACATCTTATCGTAATGTAGGTTCAGTCTCTGAGTATCCTGATCGTGCTTAGATCGATTTCCGATCTCCAGTTTAGCAGATTCATGGTTGAGTCCTCATTCTCTGAGGAAAATAGTCATGAGTTCTTTTCAGTCATTTAGTTTCAGTTTTTACTAGACTTAGATGGGGCTTGTCCCAACAATTCTAGTCATTTTAGAGACTATTTTCAGACATAGTTAATTTCAGCTTAGTGTTGAGTTAATAGTTTCTTTGTATTAAACTCATCAGTATTTCATTTATCTCAATTATAGAATATGAGTATGCCTCATCTTTTAAGTTTAAACTATGATTTATATTCCGCGTTCCGTTTATTATCTTTAGTATGCTCATGATCATGCCAGCAGGGTTAGCTTGGGATCACTTGTGGTCCTAGATTTCGTGTCCGTGTCTCGGGGTCGCTCGGGGCGTGACAATATTACTCCTGACCAAGAGTAAAAATATGTGCTAAAATGCTTCGCCTATCATATAATGAACCAGCAGAGTTGTTGCTCCCAATTGCACATGTAAGTGTACGTAGTCGCATAAGTAATATAGTGACTCTTAATAGAACCAGATTATCGATCCCAAAGGACTTGTCAATGAACTATATTTTTACTAAATTATACTGGTCTTATTATTTACTAAAGAGAGCCAAGAGAAGAAGAATGCAAGAACAATATAATAAATTTACTTACAATAATTGGGAAATCCCAGGGCTGCAACATATATTGAATTTCATGTATCATATTTTGGCTTAGAACTAATTTTAGTTATAAAGTTATTGGTTTATAGAGTTAATTGTATGAGTAGGACTATACTCCTCTAGTTGCCTACTCCAATTAGATACCTAACTACACCGTTGAGTGGGGGATAAGTAAACTAATTTGCGAGCATTTAAATTTCATCCTATTTTGTAACCAAGCAAGTTATTTGTCTGGGCGTCACTCCTAAACACGAGCTCAATTTCTCTGGTCTCTGGTCTATCTAATCTCTTCTCTCTCAATTTTAAGATTAGACAATAGATTTATCTCATGGTGATCAAGCACGAAATACTAAAAACAAGATATAAAAGTAACTTATAATGACAACAAAGAATTAATTCAAAACACCATTAGTAA